TTTCCCATGGGTGTGGATATTTCGTGTGATGGCGGGGGCCAAATAATTTATATAAATTCATTCATTGGTCATTTACTTGATGATAAAAGCAATAAAATTAATATGAATAGGATTTTTTGTTTTCCTTTCATATGGTAAAGCAGTATGCGTGAAGGTCATTGAATTGCAGAGGGTAGAGGCGAGCTATATTGTTCATAAAGTAAACAAACTGAAAACATATGTATGTTTGTTTCTATAAATATCAAACTCTTGAAATTATGCTGTGTTGTTATTAAATCCTATATAGATTTTCATTGGAAGAAAACAAAGGAAGGACATTCAAATGGTTTACGATTAATAAAAATATACTATATAAGGCGGTGGCAATTCATTCGCGATGTACTTACGATGTCGTCATAAACCGAAAATAAGCAAATATTTTTATGATAAACATTTTGTAGGTCTTTTGCTGCCATACAATCAGCTATTATATATTGTTTGTACTATAAGCTACTTGTTTTTGCCTTTACGCATTTCTTTTTAATGCTCAAAAGCCTAAAGGCATGCTATTAAATTCGTGGACATATACATACATATACACACTCAAACAAACATAGATACATCAATATCAGTCATTGTTTTCATGATTCATTTGCTACTTAGGCAAATGTTTCCAGTACATTTAGGCCCATAAAAAGTTTTAATCCACAATAAATATTTACTTAATTTTTGGCAATATGTCATTCAGCAAAAACGAAAGCAAAAAACCCCTGTCGTGTCTGTACAAAATTAGCAAAATACATAGATGTTTATAGTATTTGTGGAAATAGTAAAAAAATAACCGGAGTCAATATCATAAAAAATATGGAACCTATGAAAATTAAACCAGTTAAATCTACTATTATAAAAAATACTGCAACAACAATTTTTTTGAGGACTACACACGACGTAGTCAGTCGTATTGAGCTGCAGCGACTACGGTGGCTAGGCCATGTTGTGCGGATGAATGAGAATGCCCCAGCTCAAAAGGCTTAAAAACGAGCCTACTGATGGTTCCCGTAGAAGGGGAAGGCCAGGAATTATATGGAAAGAACAAGTAGAAAGCAACATCTTGGAACGTGGTTTTCCAAATTGGTGGATTTGCGCACAAGACCGACGCGCTTGGAAATCTTTTTTAAGCTCGGCTTATGGAACAACCGTTCTGTAACAAGCCAGCTAAGTAAGTACACAAGAATTAGATTAAACCAGTAAGGAAAGTAGTAAAGTCGGACGGGGTCGACTATATGATAACCTTCACCACTTTGGGTATATTCTACATATGTATCCTAACAGACGTCGCCTTTTTGAATGAACATTGGCATGAAATTGGACGAACTAAAATATGTGATCTTTATCTATATCTAAACCGACTAACATCAATCCCTACGCATGTCATTGTGCAACCTATGCTAAATTTTGTAAATCAATTTAAAGCAAACTTGACACACGCCATTGGGTATGCTGCACGGTTTAAAATTTAATCTCAATCAGACATCCATTGATTACTTCGTATAATTAAAATCGAACGAAAATATATATAGGAGGTGAATGTAAATTTTCACGAAGCTTTGCACACATCATTCTAGACTTAATTCAGTACCCCAGACCAAAATTCATGCAAATCGAATGATATATAGGGACTTTTGTGCATCAATTACATTAAATCGGACGAAAATATATAGGGGAGCTACAGGGTTACCCATATTCGATGGACCCATCTGGCAACGCCATAACTTTTGACAGAGATGGCACATCGCTTAACGACATACCGCGTTTGAAGCGTCAGTCCAAGCAGATTTTTACCATCAACCAATACATGACACGCGAGCGCTCTGAAATAGTTTAAATTTACATTCAACAGAAGAAGTCAATTGCGAAAACTCTAAGAGCACCATTAAGCGTTTATACGAAAAAATTTCGACTGGTAAGGCTCTTTCCAATCCGAAGATGCAATATAAAAGTCGACCAAGGCGATCGGCCGAGAATATCGCTGCCGTACGAGCCAGTGTTGAAAGGTCCCCAAGAACATCCCAAAAACGCCATTCTCAGCCGTTGGGCATGGCTCGGTCCACTTTACAACGGATTACTCGCATTGATTTGCATTTGCTCCCGTACAAAATTCAATTGACGCAGAATGTTGCCTGCGAACAAGCTCGTCGATAGGAATGGGCCCAAAGAGTCATCGAAATGGCCGAAGATGACGAGCAATTTTGGAATAAAATTATCATGTCCGATGAAGCCCATTTCACATTGAATGGGACCGTAAATAAGCAAAATTGCCGTATTTACGCCACAGAAAATCCTCAGGAGATTCAAGAAGTGCCTCTTCAAGACGAAAAAGTCACAGTTTGGTGCGACGTTAGTGCGAAAACGGTCATTGGGCCGTTTTTCTTCCAAAATGAAAATGGCCATGCTGTTATCATCAATCAGGAGCGTTACCGCGACATGATGACCAATTCTGTGATGCCAATTATTCGTCGAAAGCGTATGAAGCAGTTCTGGTTTCAACAAGACGGCGCTCCACCGCACACAAGTCGCATAACTATCGATTTTCTGAGGAATTTGTTTCCGGGCCGTTTTATGTCGAAAAGTGGTGATTTGGACTGGCCACCGCTTTCACCCGATTTGACGCCGCCTGACTTCTTTTTGTGGGGATATTTGAAGTCAAAGGTTTACGTTAAGAAGCCAAGGACCGTAGAAGAGCTAAATAACAACATTCGTGAAGAAATAGCCGCTATTCCGCCCGAAATGTTGGCAAAAAACCATGGAAAATGCAGCAAAAAGGGCACAATACGTCATCAACGCCAGAGGCGGCCATTTGAGAGATATAATATTCAAAAATGTATGTAAACAAATCTACTTGGAACAAATTAAATGATTAACATTGCCAAATTTTTATTTTGTTCTTTGATTTAAAAAAAAAAACATGGGTCCGTCGAATATGGGCAACCCCGTATCATCAAATCAGAATAAATTCGTGCAAATCTATCTATACGAATTTTATGTCTGGGGTACTGAATTAAGTCTAGAATGATGTGTGCAAAGCTTCGTGAAAATCGGTTCAGATTTACATACACCTCCTATATATATATATATATATTCGTCCGATTTTAAGTAAACCAAGGGACTTTTGTGCATCAATTGAAGTGAATCGGACGAAAATATATATGGGAGCTATATACAAATCTGAATCAATCTGAATTTCCACGAAACTTGGTACACATTATTCTAGACTTAATTTAGTACGCTATGCCAAAATTCGTGAAATTCAAAAGATTTGTAGGGACGTTGGTGCACCATTTACCTTAAATTGGGCGACACTATATGGGAGCTATATCTAAATCTGAACAGATTTTCATCAATTTCAATAGGGTTAGTCCTTGGGGCAAATATATGAGCTGTGCCAAATTTCATTCAAATCTGATTTTTTAAATATTTTTTTTTTTTTTTTGAGGAACATACAGGGCGTAGATTTTTTAAATAATTTTTTAAGGATCATACAGGGCGTAGAAAAAAAACACAACAAAACAAAAAACTGCACAATTATGTGTTAAAAATGCATTTTTATACAGGTGACGTATAATCGATGTCACTACTTATACGCCCTACGGGAAATATGTGCCATATGATCGATACCACTACTTATACGCAGCAATATATAGCGATTTTTGGTATTTTGACGATTATGTTTGTAATTTGATATTTTAAGGTATCTTCAGTAGAAAATGTTCCCACTGAGGATTCGAGGATGAGGACTTTTAGACAGTATTATGATATTATAAATTTGCACAATATTCTTATCAGATGTAGAGAAAGTGATGAATTTACCTTCAAAACCCATTAGCTTAGAAAAATGTGATCGTATAGTGTTAATGTAATGTTTTAGATTCATGTTAAGAACATAAAAAATTCAAATCACAGAATGGGTTAGGAAAAATGTAAGTAGTGTTATTCCGTCTTAAATTAGCAATTCCTTTAATTTCATTACGAATAAGTAACATTTACCAAAATTAAGCAATTTAAAAAATCATACCAAGTTATACCCATCATAAGAATACCAATCGTCATACCTCGACTAGCTGAATCGATAGACATAGACATGTTTGTCCGTCCGTCCGTCTGTCCATTATAATTTGTAAACATGATACAAGACACAGTTATGGACCAATCATCACGAAATGTGCCTGTAGGATGGATTTTGGCCAAAGAAGACCCCTAGAAGATCCGTTAATGACACCAACACTACGAAACTTTACACCAGGAAATTTTGAATAATATAAAAGTCTAAAATCACAAACTAGCTATTTGGTGTACGATTCAAATAGATTTGGCGTATGATTGGCGTCGTCACTTATACGTGCCAGTGTTGTTCAATATTGATTGATATTGATTATAGGTAATTTATTTTTGTAGCGTAGTTACACGTATCATTGTCCAGAAAGTGTTCAATATATGCCCATGCTTTTATATGGCCAATTTTTTAATAAGTATTTTGTTAATTTTCCAATCGAAGATAGTCGCCTTTTTATTAGTATATAAAATATACTTTTAAAAAGAACGTATTTATGTGTACAGCTCAAATTATTTAAATAGCTCTGCAAGCAGTATATAAGTTCCTATATTCTCAACATTACTTTAGACTATTAAAAACTGGAAAAAGGATAAACTTTGGCCTTATTTATATTAGATATATAAACAACAATTATATTATACTACACAAAATTAAGTCACGTCTAAAACCACAAATTTTCTATTTTGGGTATAACTCAAGTAAATGTGGCGTACGATTGGTACGTCACTGTGGTCGATTGATCGATTGCAAATAATTTTGTGGCGTATTAATAATGTCGTTAGTTATACGTATGATTGCAATAGATTTTTAAATTGGTATTTTTAAAAATTTCCATATATTATTTGATTTCCAATATATTTTATACATTTAAAAATAATTAATAAACAAATATTTTGCTTTCCAAACTTACCTGACCCATATTGGTAAAACCATATCTATTTGCAATTAGATCAGCCATTTCTGGTCCAGCGGGAATATGCACAGCAAATTCATTCGTATACATTGGTTGGCGGGGCAGACTGTGTGTACCGCGGAAACTATCTAACAAATCGTCATGAAATTGTAATAAATAATCATCAGCAGCAGGACTTGTGGAATTTTGATGGCCAGTGTGGTGCAGCTGTTGCTGACGTTGTTGCTCATTTTCATTATTGATTATTTGTGAGAAGGCATCGCTATAATCATTTAGGATTATCTTAACAGCCGAATTGGTAGCATTCATATCATTTGAGGTTATGTACAGGTCGTTGTCACTATTGTTGTTGTTGTGGCGACTGTTGCTGCTATTCTGGTAATTATTGCTACTATTTACATGTTGACTAATTGCTGTTGTTGCTCCTGCTAATGTCGTTGTTGCTGCTTTATTACCGGTGGTGGTTGAGGTGGCTGCATTGTTGTAGTTATTGTTGCTATTGGTCTTTACTAGTTTACCTTCATGGAAAGGCAATGCATTAGGTTGTTGCTGTTGTTGTGGGTGGTGTTGGTGCTGCAAATCCAGGCTTGGTACAGCCAATACGCTGGGCAATATAACTAACATCACTAGGAAATATTTACACAATTGTGTTAGTGTTGTTGTTGCTTTTGCTGTTGTTTGTTGTGGTCGATGCAAGTTGTGCATTTTGCCAAAATTGAATAGATTCCATATCACTGGTTTCGATGGGCTGCTGTTACGCTTACTCTGCTTACTGGTAGTTGGATATCGCCCCCGGGGTCTTTCGCGCCACTTTTGGGTTTGATGGATATATGATGTTGCTGCACTGACTGTGGCTGCTGCTGCTTCTGTATTCACTAGCAATTTCTTTTCTTCCGGGCAGGTATTACTGTGATACAATTTACGAGCAAATGTCGAAGCAGTGGCATCGTCATCATCAGCATTGCCATTGTGTAAAGAGTGGGAGGAGGTGGTGGATGATGCCTCATCACTACCCTCCGCTGTCATTGATGATGCTGACATGGCCCAACTCACAGTGGCAGAACGGGCTTGTCGTTTCAACGCCTGACTCTGTGATGATAGTTTGCCATTTTGAAAATTCACGTTCACATTTGTTGCTGTTGTCATTTTCTTTTCACATTGCCAAATGTGTGAGGGAAGAATTGCAGTGCCACAGCGGTTGGTGGCGGTGGTGGTGGCGATGATGTTGTTCGAAGTGGAAGTGACATTTTTGGTGTTGATTTCACATTGGGATGATATTGAATTGTCACATTCATCATCGTTGTTTGGATTATGATATAAATTCATAGTTGGATAGATTTCTGGGATAAGTTATGGTGAATGGTGTTATTTTTGTTGGATATTTGTCGACAAAGAAGAGAAAAATCCAAATAGAGAGGGGGTGTGTTTGTGCTTGGATGTGCTCTCACAAGACAAATAGAGAGTGCGAAACACGTTCCAGAAATATAAAACCAATTTTGCAATCACACCGAAAAAAAGTTGCTGCTGCTCCCTGATTGATTCTGCTCGAAAAGAAGAGGGTGTGAGGGGGGTTGGGTAGAGAAAATTAATTTTGAAGTTTTAATCAAATTTTAGAAAATTTTGATTAAATTGCATATGTATGGTAGATTTTGATGTTGTGGTTGGGATGGTTGTAGTTGTCGCTGATATAGTTTTAGATTTAGTTAAAAATGTTCTTAATGTTGCTACTGACATTGGCGACAACATGCGTACGAATTTCCAGTATATAAAGAAGAACAATTTTCCAAACAAAAATTATTTGATGAGGATATTGTTGTTGAATATGTATGGTGTTTAAAATGTATTGTTGTTGTTATTGATTTAAAATTTTGATTTTGTTGTTTCAATTTAAACGGTCATTTTTGCTGAAAAGAGAAAGGGGAATAGAATTATTATTAGATTTGTATTTTTTTGCCATATAAAAAAAAATATTTAAAACATATAAATAGAAAATATTAAATATTTTGTATAAATATCGTTCCTTTATGTAGAATTCAATGAAAACCAGTAAGGAAAGTTCAAAAGTCGAACAGGGCCGACTATATGATACCCTTCACCACTATGGGTACATGCAAGACATGTTAATATCTACAATATCTTGTTGATATAGAAATTTCGCATACATTAGTCGGGACCTAATTCGGTACTCTGTGCAAAATGTTGCTTCAATCGGAACAATATTGGGAGTTTGGTGCACAATTTACTTTAAATCGGACGAAACTATATATGGAAGCTATATCTAAATCTGACCCGATTTCAACAAAAATCTCGATTTGTTTGCCTGTTACAACCCCAAAATACCGCAAATTGGGGGTACCCTTATATGGGGGCTAAACGAAAAAATTGACCTATTTTTATGATTTATAGTGGAGAGATTTGTTACCTAATAAGAACTCGACGTACTAAATTGCAGTCAATTCGGTCGAAAAATGCGATCAAAACCCCAAAATACCAAAAATTTTGGGTACCGTTATATAGAGACTACCAGAAAAACTGGACCTATATTTATAATTTTTAGTGGAGTAATTTGGTACCCAATAAGAACCCAATGTTATAAAACGAGCTCAAGAACCACAAAATACCGAAAATTGGGGGTACCCTTATATGGGGACTATCAGAAAAAATAGACCTATATTTGTAATTTAATAAGGAGATTTGCTACCCAATAATAATCTCTGCGAATTCGGTCGAAAAATACGATCCCCCAAAAACCCCCAAAATACCGAAAATTGGGGGTACCCTTATATGGGGACTATCCGAAAAAATGGACCTATATTTATAATTTTTAGTGGAGTAATTTGGTACCCAATAAGAACCCAATGTACAAAATTTGAGAGAATTTAGTTATAAAACGAGCTCAAGAACCCCAAAATACCGAAAATTGGGGGTACCCATATATGGGGACTATCAGAAAAAATAGACCTATATTTATAATTTTTAGTGGGGAGATTTGCTACCCAATAAGAACTCAAAGTGCCAAATTTCAGCGAATTCAGTCAAAAAACGCGCTAAATACCCTCAAAATACCGAAAATTGGGGGGTACCCTTATATGGGAGCTATGCCTAAACGTGGACCGATTTTCTCCAATTTCATTCAAATCGGATCATAAATGCGACCTGTACTTTGTTAACAAAAATACATGGACAGACGGACGGACGGACCGGCGGACATGCATAAATCGATTCTTTTTGTCTGTTACAAACATATGCACAAAGACATAATACCCTGTACCACAGTGTGGTGAAGTGTATAATTAGCCATGTTTTTCAAATGCTGGATAAAACAACAAGAATTCTGAAAATACCTCCTGGCTGAAATTTTTAATATGAAGGCGCATGTTTAGAAATAGCCCACATATTATGGTACCGACAGATATAAGTTATTTTGAGGATACTGACCTTTTTTTCCGAACGAAGTAGCTGTAATTTGTAATTTCTGGTTTTCAAAGATAATGTTCATTGTAGTTCCATGTTGTAATATATTAAGTTAACAACCTGGCACAATTGCCCAGCTAATGCTCTAATGGCCATAATTAGGAATTTATTTTTGTATTTTTTCACTATAGGTCTATAAGTTTTTTCTGAAATATATGAAACTATTCATTTATTACACGGTGTCACAATTTTTTTACTGCTAACTCTAAACTGCAGGAAGAAAAATCTTTATATCTTTTTAGGCGGCTATTGCAGGCTATATTTTTGAGATTACATTTCTTCAGACAACTCGATTGAGGAATATTTTTGCATACACATCCGTCCGTCCTTATTTTTTTGAATTGTAAACTAAATACCACAAGGCGAGATATTTGTCCACAAAAAAATCACTCATAAATTTTAGGTCTTAAAACATGCCTGATGTCTGGCATTTAATAGTTTTGGGAGATACTCATACAAAATTGGTTCTTAAATAGGCGTTATTTTTAATATTGTATTCGAATTTAATTTTAAGTTTGAAGGGGCAATGTTATGTTATTGTGTGCTATATTCAACGGGTCCTCTAAGAACTTAAAATCAAATAAAGAAAAAATTCCCAAACACCTAGGTGAAATATATCATAAAATACCGCAATTTATTTCGCCGGTCCAATATTCATAAATAACTTAGGGTCATTTATTTTGGTATTACAAACGGTAATAAAAATCGTTGAATTGGTGTAATTATTTCCAGGATACTTTCTCCATATTTATATTAAAAATGCAATTGTTTTCATTTGTTACATTCGAAAAAATGTATTTTCAAAAATTTGAAGGGAAATATTAGATGGAATATTTAACAATTTTTGAATATAGGCATTTCCGGCAAAAGGTAAACCAAAGTCGAAGAATTTGTTTCTTTAATTGTGCTTAAATACGTGAAGTAACAGCAAAAAATACAAAGAAAGGCATTTGTCATTTTTTCTTCATAGCATAAATACCAATTTAAATACTATAAATGCAGGCACTGTAGAAATAAAAACTGCAAAATCAAAAAGGTCGCGTGAGTGACTGAGAAAAATCCTTCGCAAATAAAGGATATGCCAAATTTTGAAATTTTAAAAGTGCAATAATAAAGCTTCTCATATTTGTACATACATAAGAGAGCAGGTAAAAATAAAATTTCAAAATATTCACACAATTCGCATCGTTTTCCCATTATTAGCTATGATGTCTAAAGTCATGTATATTTGAAGCCGCGTGAGTGACCGCCCTTTTGTGCCTTTTATATAGAAAGATAAAAACCGGAGGCCCTCAATTTTGTTTACCACTGATTTTTTTACTCCTAAAGTTCTACAAAAAAGTATTAAGGGAACCTACCCCCATTCACGTTTTTTTATTTTTAAGATTTTAAATGGGATGGTAAATGAATACCAATGCTTGTTAAGGTTTATAACTTTGCACATATATATTAGAAGATTTAAAAAGAAAAAAAATAATAATAATTTACAAAAAATTGTGTTGTAGTTTTGTTGTTGTTTTTTGTGATTAAAGAAAAGTCCTTATTTTTGGTAGGGGGCATGATAACTCCTCACTGGAACATCGGAATCCGAAAATTCCAACGTGGTTAAAAAGAGTACATGTCTGGCTCTCGTATGAACTAGGATTATTGACTTCGCACAACAATTAACAAAATGGCGGAACTTTAAAACTGGAAAATCGCCTATTTTTGACCACAAACTAAGTTAAAAATAAGGAAGATCTTCGCCGAATGGCTTTATCCTAGTCTTTACTATAGCTATACACTCACAGAGAAACGTCCCGAAATTTGTAATCGATCGGATTATTAGTTTTTGAGTTATCGTGCCCGCCATTCGCAAAAACGCTTTTTGGAGAAAAATGCGTTTTAAGTTTGAGAAGCCCTCTTGCCGTCACTTGATGTAATAAATCGGCTATATCTTCAAAATTTGTTGAGATTTCCACTTGACAATTTATTGGGACATTCTTGAATTAGTGTAACTTCGAATTAAATCAAAATACAAAATTCCATTTTTTGAAACCGAGAATGAGTGGGGTCCCCTTAAGGGAGAATTGTTAAAAATGTAATTGTTTTTGATTTATTTAACATTTAAAGTTTGATTTGGCCTCTGAAAGTCGTGTACGTGACTGCGGAAGTGCCCATATACAAGTGATGGGGTCAATTTACTTTGTAACCATCCGATAGCAGTAAGAGCGCATTTCCATACTTTAGCTATGACTATTGCTTAAGTTACACATAAATTATCCATCTAATCATTCCTAAATTCGAGTTTTAGTTTTAGCACTTTAAGAATTCGTTTAACAACAAAAATTATTTTTTCCGTCTTTTTTTTTAATTTTCGGTATTTTTGGTTTTATCCCAAATTTTCCTATGTTTCATGCTATTGGATTGATTTTCTAAGTTTTTTTTTTACTTGTTCACAGATTTACCGACCCTAAATCTGTTTCCAAAACATATTACGTTATATAGCCCATGATGTTGAAGGGCTAAATATAAAAACAAAATTAATACCACATAACAATATTTTTCAAACCCGAACCTTTAAATATCTCAAAATGATTTTAAACCACTTTCAAAACAAACGACACATTTTAAGTTTAGAATTCTGTAACTTTATAAAACACAGCAAATCGCGCTTTGAAGGTTTTATCCATGTATTCCATTTGAAAATACTGACATTTTAAATCTGGCGAAAGCATTTTTAACACAAATGATATCACTTTTGTCATCGATTAAATTTTGAAAGTAATTTTTTGTTTAAATATTTTTCTCTTTTTATGTTTTGTATTTAAAAATATTACTATTTCATAATAAACGGTTTAACTACACAAACAATGGTTTTATAGTTTATCGAAAATTTCATGTTTTAAGAAACCTGTTTTCGGCTACAAAAGAAAACCGGGTGTCAATTTCAAAAATGAAAGCATTTTCATGTGTACGATTTGGTTTATAAATGTATACCCACGTACCAATAAAACGATGCGCTCAGAACATAGACAGTATAATTGTATAATTCTGATGATTCACAGACAAACACTTAGAAAATATACTGATTAATATTTATTTATTTTAAAATGATATGAAGGTAATTACTTTACTCATTCTTCTTTTAACACCTTTATAAACTAACCATTAAGGTTATGACATTTTTCACAACACAATATTTAAAAAAAATATATATTAGATCATAATTATATTTAATATTTTTAATATTATATTTACACAAATTCATTATATATTATAAAAATGCTTATTTCACTAACACACTTTAATTTTCGAATTTTCTCATTTTGCTCGACTAGGCTTAAAGCGACGTTCGCGATTATGGGTTGATTTTTATTAATTTTTCTTTTTTGTCACACAACCATAAAGTGTGTGAGAGTAATTCTCACTTTATCTCTCGCGATTACCT